AGAAATAATTTTTTTTAAAAATGGGAAAATTAAAACCCATTTTGTCCCTATTCTCAAGAATCACTGAGGTGATTAAAATGCATGTGTGAGAGAGGACAACAATATTAATAATGTTGCATAAAAATACTTCATCACGATGACTGTAATTCCACAGCAAACGGTCATAACATTGCAATCTGTTCCTTTAAGCTGGACAGTCGTCAAATGTCGCAGCTGTTGGTTAAAACCCAAACATTTGCTCTCTCATCTGCTTGGTGGACACAAAAACCAGAGCTGGAGAAGTTCCATTCCCACATCACAAATAATGTGGTGAACTCTGGGACTGAAAACAGGAACCGTTTGTGTTCAAGTTCAACTTCCAAAACTCGGTGGGCCACACGGATGCAGAACTGATCCAGATCTGTGTGTCTACTTCTGCAGGCTGATCTACAACAATATCACGCACACCTCCGACTCTCCACCAGGTGTGGAGATTCGAGTCCCGGGGTTCGGAAAGACGTATTCCTTGGAGTTCCTGGACCCCAGCAAGGGCAGTGTGGGTGAGTGAAAGACGCCTGGGAGAGACCTGTGAGCTCCGCCAACCTGAGAACTTTGGACCTCAACAAAATTCCAATAACTTCTTCTCAGAGACATTTCCAGGTTCCAAAACATGTAGCAAACACATTAGCTACATAAATTATGGAATATCATTAATTGATTTAAAAAAAAAAACTGAAAAAAAATGTTTGACATCTTCAATTTGGTGCAACCCCTCGTTCCGATCAAGCATCGGAAGAAGAAAAATAAGTAATTTTTAACAGAAAGGAATCAGAGCTAGCCTCAGGATGAGCAGCCATATGTCAGGGCTTCAGAAAACAGGAAACTGAGAGAATAACTTAAAAGCACATGGCAAAGAGTACGTCTGCTTTCAATTTGTCTGCATAGCCGTCGTTGACAGAAAGCCATAAGAAGGCCTGTTTGCAGTTTGCCACAAACCATAAAGGGGACACAGCGAGCATGTGGAAGAAGAAGCCCTGATCAGACGACAATAAACTGAAACGTTTCTGCCTTTCATGCAAAAATTTTGTGCGTTACGGGGGAAAAAAACACTTCAACACACTTTCTGCAACCATGGAGTATTATTGTTGTAGCATCATGCTGTGGAACGCTAGATGCCGTCAGAACAAAAACCGAAAAAGATTAGAGACTGGGTTGGAGTCTTTTCTCCACCTTCCCTTGAGTCAGCGACCGTAAGGAACCAGAGTGGAGTTGTTCAGAGAAAAGCATGCTCTTGCTGACATAGTCCAAGTTCAGGCCTAAATCTAGTTGAGAACTTGAGATGTTTTTCAAAGTTAAATGACTTAAAATACAGTTTATAGTGTTCATCTCTCCGATGAACACAATAAACTGTCAGCTATTCTACAGTGCAACAAACTAGGCATGTTTCCACAATTTAATTTTTTTTAAAGGGAAAAAAAAAATATTGGATGTACATAAACGCATATGTGCCACGTTTATGCTCAACATTGCTAAATCTTTATTTACTTTTAACTCTGCACTACAACCATCTGGTGTATTTATCTAACATACCTCATGTTTGTATATTCCAGGCATGTATTTCTTCACCATCGTGCAGGCGATGGTGGAGTGGGGCTACACCAGAGACGACGACGTGAGGGGAGCGCCGTACGACTGGAGGAAAGCTCCGAGTAGGCACCGACGCTAAAACGACAAAATGCCACGACTTGGCCTGTGAGCGGAGCCTCAGTTCTGTCTCTTTCTTTTTGCTAGATGAAAATAAAAATTATTCCCGGAATCTGAAGGAGATGATCGAGGAGATGGTGGAGAAAGCCGGGCGGCGTGTGGTGCTCATCGCCCACAGCATGGGGAACTTGTACGCGCTGTATTTTCTCAACCAGCAGCCGCAGGCCTGGAAAGACAAATACATCCAAACTTTCATCTGTCTGGGACCACCATGGGCCGGCGTGGCCAAAACCCTCCGCGTGGTCACATCCGGTAAGAGACGATCGGGAGCGTGAAAGCTGCGCTGACTTTCAAAAAACATCAAAACTAAACCGACGTCAGAAACCAAAATATGTTGCTTTAAAGCACAGAAGCATAAACAATACTGAGGCTTTGAAAAGGCTTGCAAAAGTAGTTTTCTTAATTGATCATTTATTCCATCCCTGCTTACAAAAAAGCTAATTGTCATTATTTATTTATTTATTTTTTTAATTGTTCATCATGTAAACGGAGGCCTGTAGAATGTGAGATGGGATTTTTCTTGCATTTCGGAGAAACTTTGTTGTGCTTCTGACCATCAAAGGCTGCGTGAAACTGTAAAATAAGATCAAGAAGAAACCTTTTGCACTTCTCAGGAAACCAGAGTGTGAAACTCTGGGTCAGAAATAATCTGCCAACTTTCAATTCTCTGTACCTCATTTTCTTTGTTCCCCAAAATCTAGGTGACAATGACCAAATCCCGTTGATCAGCCCTCTGAAGATTCGCTCACAGCAACGGACCGCCGTCTCCACCACCTGGCTCCTCCCGTACGCCCACACCTGGCCCAAAGATCAGGTCTGTAATCTGTGACTTAATACTTAAATTATGCACGTCTGACTCTGAATATTATTTTAATTGCCAGTATTTGGTCTCCTCTCCTCCACCCTTTGTTCAGGTTTTCCTCTGTAGATAATCTGTTGACCTTTTACCTGCTTATTACCACATTGACCAAAATCATGTCCTATCTGTCACAAACAGAAAAGGGATCAGAACTGGTAAAAGTTCTTGGATTTATCCCATTCTGCTGCCTTATTTAGTCTTTTTTTTTTTTTTTTTTCCTTCTCCAGGTTTTAGTCCAAACCCCCACCAACAACTACACCGTGCAGGACTACGAGAAATTCTACTCAGACATCGGTTTCGCAGAAGGCTGGCTGATGCGTAAGGACACCGAGCCGCTGGTGTCGGACCTGACCGCCCCCGGCGTCGCCGTCCACTGCCTGTACGGCAACGGCATCCCCACGCCCGAGGCCTTCCGGTATTCGGACAAGTTCCCAGACATGGAGCCCAACGTGACGTACGGCGACGGGGACGGGACGGTCAACCTGCGGAGCGCCGTGCAGTGCAAGCGGTGGGCGGGACAGCAGAAGCAGCCCGTCATGCTCAAAGAGTTGCCGGGCAACGAGCACGTAGAAATGCTGGCGAACATCACCACCTTGGAGTACATCAAGTCTGTGCTTTTCTCCCCGTGATGCTGCCAAAAGCCTGAGGTTCATGCCAACAAATGTCTCAACTCAAAGTGTTCAGATTTTACTTGAGAAATCCTGTAAGCTTTTTTTTTTGTGTGTGTGAACGTGTGTGTGTGTGTGTGTGAACTGATGCGTGTAACCCTGAAATCTCTGGATGTCGAGGTGTTTTTGTCGTTGAGACTTAATACTTTTCTGTCTCGCATTTTCACAAAGTTTAGATTTAAAAAAAGAATGTGTGAGTGTCAAAAAGCAGGGATGATTTATTAATGCTGCGAGAGATTTCTGAAGCCCTTTGTAACAGAAAATTTAAAGCACAGATTTTAATCACCCTGTTTATTAATTTTATAAATGATTTTACATTTTTGTGTCTTATTTTCGTTTAACTTGTGAGATTTGTTGATTGTGTTTTGCACTCAGCGAAGCTGATGCGGTTCTTGTGTGGTCAGTTATACAGAAGTTACAGACCGCCGCCGTATCAACACTGCAAAAACACAAAACCTTACCAAGAACCTTTGGTCTAGTTTCGAGTGCAAAATATACTTGAAATAAGACAAAACTAACAGACAAGTAACTTTTCAGCAAGATACAGAAGCTTGTTTCAAGTAAATAATTAATATTAGTAAAAAAGTACTGTTCCACTGACAGGTTATTTCGCTTATAACAAGACATTTTCCCCATGTTATAAGTAACAATCTGCCAGTGGTACTAGTACTTTTTTTTTTTTTACTTAAAATGAGCGCTTGCTGAAAAGTTACTTGTAAGTTAACTTTGTCTTAATTCAAGTGTATTAAGACATGTGAGCAACTAGACAAAAATACTTGGTAAGATTTTTGTTTTTGCAGTGAGACTTTTTTTTTAAGAATGATTTTATGATCTACATAAAAATATTCTGAAAGTTGAGTAATGCAGAGAAAAGATCAACAAAAACAAGGAACGGCTAATTTACTTGGTCCATTTTCCTGTTTGAATCTTTTTGTTTGGGTTTGGTTTCAAGCAGGTGCCTTGAAAGGCTGTAATTGCAGGAAGGAGGAGACTCTTCCTGACTGACATGGATCTTCTAGATGTTTTATACTTTTCCTCGTTGTTTAAGCAGATGTTAAATGTTGAGACCTTTTAGAGAAACCCAAATTCTGCTGTGCAGATGTGGAGAGAAAACTCTGGACCTACGTGATTGTATTGTGCCATGAAACCCTCACTGACCAAAATGATATTACTATGAAGTTTCACTTCTGCTGTGATTATAAATGTGTATCCTAAACAAGCTGCCTTCTGTAGGGTAAAATACTTCATTCAAGTGAACCACTCAAGACTCTTGAGTTTTATTTCTAGTTGGAGCATCATGAAACGCATTTCTCTCATTCAGCATTTGTCCATCTTTTTCTCCTCATTTTTTTATATATACATATATAATTTTGATACTGCACAGAGCCGAGTACTGTCATGACAGGAAATGGCTATTGTGTGAAATTTAAATTGCTGCACAGCTTTCAGGTTTTGATTGTTTTCAACTTTGTTTATTCTTTGACTTTGAAATGAGTTATTTTGTTTTTTCTCTCCTGAATTTACGTTTAGCATTTGCCAGTTTTAACGGAGCAATGAGATGTAAAGAAAAAAAAAAAAAAACACGCTTCCTCATTCTCATAAGTCTTATGAGCAAATTACCTTCTGTTTTTCTTGTAAATATCACCCTGTGACTCACTGAGGTTTCAGAGCTGAGTAAAAGCCCAGCTTCCTCTAATAGAGATGCTGTCTTCACATAACAGCTTCCATTGCACGCAATAAAAAATTGGTTCTGCGAAGAACAAGTCAATAACAAGATGTACAAAAAAAAGTAGCAGCTTTATTTAGTTTATCTTTGGTACAAAAACCCCCCTGTGCATCTTGACTGCCTGACGATGTTTTACCAGTCGGCTTGTCGTCTGTAACATCTGGGGGTTTTTTTGCAGCTGCGACTCCCAGACTCGATGCCAGCCGACAAACTGCTCACTCACGAGGTCTTTAGCGAGAAACGAAAAGTCTTGTTTCCTGTCCTGCAGCGAACTTCTACACAGTCCAATCTCAACAGAAACGGCCCTTCTTCCCGATTATCTACCAGAGACTGTAACAAGGAAAGAAAAGGGGGGGGAAAAAATGAAATAAAACCATATTTTATCTCAGAACAACCAAAAACATCAGTGTTCTCCACCGAAATATGCAGGTCAACATAAAGTTGAATTTAATTGGGAAATAAAATGAAAAGAATATGTCGTTTTTTTGTGTGTTTAACAACTAAAACTCTGAAAAGCATGGTTTGCATTTGTATAAAAACCCCCTTCAATCTGACTCCACATTGACCACATTTTGAAAACCTTTTATTCCACTTCGCAAATGCACTACCTTAAATTGGTCTGTCAAATAAAATCCTGATAAAATATGCCAGCTTTGGTGAAAAAAAAAGTTCAAGGTGAATGAATAATTTGTAAAGCAATGACCGTGCCAGTAACTTGTGTTTCAGAGCAATGGTCACAATAGGATTTTGCTTTATTTTTTAAAACATAAAAGATATCAAAAAACACTAATCTCACAGAAGCATAAAGAAAAAGCCAAGGTTTTGTAAAATCATATATGTCCACCTGGTATTTTACTTTAAGTAACTTTTTGAATGTTTTGTATGCAGGAAGCTCTGTGACCGTTTCTTTGTGGCCTCCCTCAAAGTTAACAAACTTAAGATTTTACAGTAGAACAATTAAAGACGCATCAAATGGACTGAAAACTGCATTTCACTCAGAATATGTCCCGAAGCTGGCGAAGTTCTACTAAAACCGCTCCCACCCCCCAAAAAACTAAACTATTTGCACATATTTCCTTTTGAGCAGGAAATAACCGGTGGCAGAAAAAGATATGTGTGCTCCTCCCTGGTGGTTTTGGGTCACACATGTAAATTATGACCTAATAAAAGGCTTCAACTCTTTCCTTATTGGTACTCCTTGTCATGATATGTAAAAAAAAAAAAAAAAAAAAGGCTTTAAAAATTTGCTTACAGCAGTGATATCTCCTCGGGTGAGCAGGTATCTGTCTGACTTGAATGACATATTAACTTGTCTTTTCCACTTTGAAGAGCAGCTTAGAGAAATTTCTGCATCATATTTGTGTTGCAGGTTAACTGGAGAGCCATTTAAAGATTCATGGACACATGATCACCATAGTAAATTAAAAACTATTTAATATAAATTATTAGGGCTAGCAATAGATGATATTGATATAAAAAAATGATAAAAAGTCTATTTTTCAAACAATTGGATTTGTTAAAGAGTTTTTAGTGTGAGATTATGCTGCTGCTGCAATAAAAAGGACAAAAATGGTCCAAGAACTTCATCCAAAATGCAAATATGTTCTCTGTTCCCTATGTGTAATTAAAACTGGCATCAATAAGTATCATCTTGTGACACAATAAAAGCAAAATCGTACATACAAACTAAACTAACAACATCTGAGCACCTGCAGCTCCTGTAAGAGTTCCTTCATCTTCTCCGTCTGGTCTCCCACACACCAGGCCAGACTCACGTGGAAAGATGGTTCCTACAATTCAAAGCCGAGAGAAAGTGAGAAACTTAAGAAGGTGGGCTTTTCTGGCTTCTAAATAATTATCTAGTTTGACGGGGGTTTTTTTACATTGTGATTTGAGTTTTAACAAAATTTCCTTCTTTGGTCTGTTTCAGCATTTGCTTCTGGATTTTAATTTAATGTCATTTACAAATCAAATTGAACACAGTTATTGTGACACCCTAAAAGACATACGAACCCAGTTTCACATAAACCGCTCTTTTTTGCCGAATTCCCCAAGTAAATATCAAAAGAAAAAAAGTGTTTCAGTGAAATTTAACTGACCTTATAAAAAGTGTCCAATTGAAACTCGGTCATTGTTTTGTCGACCAATCGGACCAGGTCCAATAACTGAGCGTGACCGGTGGACACTTCCATCCCCAAGAAGGTCCTGATGTGGAACAGCATTTAAAGACACAGGGAAGGGGAAACATCGGTAATAATTAAGATGTCAGTAAGTTTATATAAAATTAAATATGTTTGAGGATAAAATGTGTCCTCAGAAAGCACAAATTTACCTGTTAAGTCACAACTTAACTGTTGGCCACAGAGAGGATAGATTCAGCGAATGGCCAGTCAAACACGTTGTGTTGCAATACTCTACCCAGTGTACCATATACACTTAATATCAACTAATGAAGGCTTTTCAGTATATTTGTCTTCCATATAAACATGTTTACTCCTTGTAAACATGTTTATTGAGGTTATTTCATTGCACTGTCATAAAACATTTTGCTTCTTCTCACAGCCTGGTTATAATATGGGATGGTATGGCTTGAATATATTTGACTGGCCATTCACTGAATCCATATTGTAGTGATTTAATGTGTTGATTGGATGACAATCACTTTTTAGGTTTATTGTTCCATTTTTTTTTATTTTATTTTTTTTTTTTTTTTACTTTTCTTGAACTCAGATATTAGAAGATTTACCAAACCTAAACACCATAAATTTCCAGGAAAAGAAAGAAAAGTGACTCTTTGTTGAATGGCCAGCATTAAACAAGCATCTAACTTTTGATTTAAATTTTAACATTTCAAGTTAAATTAAAGTAAATGTTTCCAAAGTAAATTTTGAGATAAATGCTTGGAAGACATTACCTTGTCCTCTCAGCGTTGCAGTAGACCTTCAGCGTTGCTGCTGAACACGCAAACCTGCCAACAGGAAACAGCTTTCATGAGAATGTGGACAGAGCGACAACAGCTGTGATTTGTTTTAATGTATTGTTTGTTTCCTGCAGAGTTCATATTTATCAAATTCATCACATGCCATCAGTAAAAACTGGTACATGTTAAACAGTCAAGAAAGACTTTGCAAGTAAGTATATCTGACAATGGAGAAACTTATAGACTTGAGGAAAACTATTGTTTGAAGACCTGGTATTGTTACTTTGTGAAAGTAATAAAGCTTTCACAAAAAAAAAACATGTTTATTTCACAAAAGATTTTTTTCTTTTATCAGTTAATAATTTAAAATTATTAAACAAGCTATCTAAAACACCAACTTTTGGGATGTCTACTATTGCTCAGGATCCACTGTACACAGTTTTTAAGAAGTTTGCAGGAAGTCGGTTTCATCTAACAACAGATGATCTATGGTTGACACACTAAGTTACTCTACCTTTATTTCTAATACTTCCTGATTTACTTAAGGATTTAGATGATGCTGAGTGAAACTGGCTGTAGTTGAGTAGATGTAGGGTCAATCAGACACCTCTGGTGGTTCAGTTTGAGGAGGAAGAAAAATAAAAGCCTCACCATGTACTAGGGAGAACAAATATAAATTCCACACAGAAGTGCATGTCTTTGTTACATGTTTCACATGTGCTTTGAACTTTGTCTGGTACTTTTGTGTGTGTGACTTCTCACAAACAAGTTTAGATTTTTCTTCTGAAGCGCTTAGCTAAAAATGTAAAATTTGAATCCAATTTGTTTGTCTGTAAATCAAGGAGTGATAAACAAACCTTCTGCACTGAGAGAGGCCCGACTGGAGGCTTTGTGTAAATGGCTGGATCCAGTGGTGCCTGAGCACCACAGTCTGAGACAGACTCAGGTGGAACTCCTCTTGTTGCGTCAGCATCAGACCATGAGCCCCCAAAGTTGACAGCAACTCCTCTAAAAGCTCCTCAAATTCCTTCTCAGGGGCGTCTGACACAAAAATGAGCCACATAGTCAAGAACCAGGATTAGAGAAGGGTTTACAAAAACAAACTGTTCTGGTTGCTTCTTACAAGGCAGATAAACATAAGTGGCCCAATTGCCTCTCTCGTGCTTAAAGGAGCGGATGCGTCCACCATGAAGGGAGCTGTCTTCAGTCAGTGCTTCATCGTCGTCATCAGGGAACATGCTCAGGAGGCAACCGGGCAGAGGCAGTCTGCAGGACATGCACATGTTTTATTTCCATCTGAAATAATCAGACTGAGGAATTTGCAAATTAAGTTTTTAATCCTATTAAGCAAGTATTTGCTCTTTAAACTGTGGATGTCCCATCAAAGAATGGCTATAAGCTTTGTCGGAAATGGTGAAGCTGTCAAATATCTTGAATTTCTAAGATTTCAAACATCTAATTTTGTCCAGCTACTGAACTGCTTTTATTTGCATTTAAAAATAATACTATTTTACAAATTCAGACAGACAGACTGAACTTTGTACTATGCACACACCTCGTTTTAGGATCCAGCTCCTCAGTCCTGGCTTTCTTCTTGGCTGGAAGGTCTCGGCTTCTCTCATCTTCCTCCACTGATCTTCGGCTATTTCGACTCCTCGCTTCACTTCCGGGTTCACCGTCCTCCTCCGAGCTGCTGCTGTAACCAACCAACATACCGAACCATCAGGACATCGTACAGATAAGTTAGATACTTGATATAGACCAGATGTTGGACCCCGTCGTAGCTTCAAAGCCCCAAAATCAATTAATTTTCCTAACAGCCTGCACTATTTCCGATGTAAACAACTGCTTGTTACCTTAATTCATGTCCGACCGAAACAAACAGTCCGCCTCTAAAGTGTTCTGCTTTAGCTGAACAGATTTAGTGAGATTCTTAGGTTAATTAACAACTTTAAAATATATTTTAAAATGTGAATATTGAAGATTATCTCAAACTGGGAGATAAATCTGTTCCCAGTTTAACCCAAGAAGAAGCACAAGTGGATGAAAAATGTCAGATTGGAATATTTTTAGTTACATTTGAGACAATTTTCCAGTTTTAAACCCTGTTTTGAACCCTGGCATAAAACCTGGTTTAAAACTTTGTGACATTTTTAACATAGATTTTTTCCTTCTTCATTAAAGTAGTTTGTAACTTCTTTTGGAAGAGACTATACACAATGATAACATGAGAACTTCAGTCCATGTGTAATCACACTTAATGTTAGTGGTTAATTTTCACCTGCTCGTCTAGGGTATAAAATAAGACATAAGACATTAAATAATATTATTTGCTAAATTACAACATACCAAATTTTATTTAATTGATTTCCCTTTGGGACCAATAAAATATTTTTTGAATTTGAATTTCATTTGAAAACTTTTTAAAGGTGAAATAATACAGACAGATTATGAGTTCCCAATTGCTATTTAATGGATTATAAACTAGATTAGATTCTATTTGTAAAATACAATGTTCCTCAAATCTGCCAATACACTATTTATCAGAATCATCAACAGTATTTAACTAGGAGCTGTCCTATAAGAGAGCACTGGCATTATATTAACAAAAATAATGAATATTTCAAAATAAATTGAGATAACATCCATGTGACTATGAGAGCAAACGCATGTCAGAACCCAATTCTGGATTCAGGTAGCAGTGGATCAGGTAATGCTGTTGGAGTTTTGTCATTAGTTATCCGGGGATCACAACAGCAAGAACAGCATCCACATATAAGTCCTCTGAAACTTCAGAACACACTGTTGTTGTATCTTCATTACTGATATGTGTCCATATTGGCTGAAATTGATTGTTTAGTGAGAAATAGGATGGTAATCATTCTGACAGGAGTAATAGTTATTTGGCCTCTTTTTTATTTTTCACCTTAGTTTCAACATTTAGGATATTTACCTTCAACTTATTTTCCCACTGTGGTACAATAAATGAGATTTCTATTCTATTCTATTCTATTCTATTCTATTCTATTCTATTCTATTCTATTCTATTCTATGTTTTCATAATCTCAAACTGTATGATCTAACATTGTTTTTCGCTTCAATTTGAACAATATGCTTACTGGCTAATTGTACCAAATTGGTTTTTAATTGTTAATTAATTTATTGTTTTAATTGTCAATTTACAGGAGAATGCACACCATGCCATTGTGACATTGTGTGACATTGTCTCGGGTACATACGACAATAAACGTGAATTGAGCTGAATTGAAAGCCATCACACACACCATGCCCACTTGTGTGTCTTCATGCCAATTAACTCTTGTGTGTTCATGTTCCTGTGCGCGGCCAGGGGCTCCGCAGCTAGCCCTGAGCTAGCCTCTAATTGATAACAAAATCATCGTCTTCTCGCCAGTCGAGAGGATGCATCGTGAGCCCGATAAATGATTCGAAACGGAGCCGTTAAGGGTTGATACGGGACAGTTTAATGACCCTACATTTTCGGCCCCCGGCTCCTGGAACCCCAGCGCTTCAACAAGGCGAGCATCAGAGCTCCGTCTGCGGATGTAAAGAGGAGACGAGACCCTCCGGTTAATTTATTTTTGGGGAGCAGCTAACCTTCGTCATATTGAACCATGATTTCCCCTTAGGATTGGCAGAAAGCTCCAGGTATGTAAATGTGTTTATTTCCCTGCCGTTAGGAACGTGTCGCCGTTGCTTTCGCTTCGCGGTCGTTGTGTTCCCGGGGCTAACCCGGTGTTGTGCACAAACTAGCACTCATGCCAAAAAGAGAAGCTACATCGTAGAAGCACACAGATGAAACGAAGAGCTCTTGAAACAATAGTTTGAGTAATAATGTAGCATTTGTCTCTGTCTATACAGCACTAGACAAAGAATTTGAATCTTCAGTATTTAAACGTAACGCTCTAAGCTGCGAGGGAGCTGTTTATAGTAGGGATGCGTTTTCCAGCACAACACCTGGCTAATGTTTCCTCTGTGGCTCTGTTAGCAGGTGGCTAGGCTAGCGGGCTATCTCTCCCTGGTTACCCTGATCTTTGCCTGGAGACTTAAAATTACGTTACGATGCGCAGACTCCGTTCATCAATTTTTTACCGCGAATCGTCCAACATTTGGAATTGTGTAAACACACACGTACGAATTGATTTTCAAAGATAACATTCACCCTTTTAAAGTCATTCGATTCCAGGTGGTATTGACTTCATTTGTTTAGTGTTTTTTTCTCTCAATAGATAAGGCGCATCCCAGAGAACACTTATGTTTGTGGCACTTTTTTTTTTTTTTTGCACCAATTTATATTGAATTTAATACCATATACTATATCCCGTGCAGCGAATCACAGAACTGGTAGAAATTAAATTTGCTTTATTATTATGTAGTTTAGTATTGTTTATTAACACCATAAGACACCATTGGTATTCTCAATGTATTTAATTACTAAATATAAGACTCAGTGTCGTTTTTAGTACAAATCAGTCCAGTAAAAATGCTATTTAGAAACAATCAGATTCAGGCCAATTAAGAACATGCATGGGGGAATGGTGGAAAGAAACGACTCTCTTTTAACTACAAGAAATTTGCATCAGAAGAAGGCTGAGCAGGTGATATCATCTGCCTTGACTGGATGTGTTTTGGAGAGGGTGTGAGACTGATGCAGATGGTTTTGCAAATAATAGCTGTCAAGAGAAAGAAGAAAAACAAGATGGGAACAATAACGACTAATCAAGAGTGAAATGAAATGTGTTGGGGAGTGGGGGAAGAATGCTCACAGATTACTGTCCCCTATTTGTCTATTACATCCTAATGATAAAGAATTATAGTAGTATTAGTACCCTAGAAGTAAAAAACACGTAGAGCACCAGTTTAGCTACGTCACTCTGACACGGTATTTGCAATTTTGTCAGCATTGCATAAATGAAAGGGAGCAATCCTGCAATTAAACATATTATTTAAGCATTTTTTCATTGTTTACTCACAGATTACCAATATAAATGCTACTGTAGTGTCAAAGCACAGAAGTCTGTGTTTGACATTTTCTGGAATAATGGATTTATAAGAAAATTCACTGAAATATTAATTTGATGTTGTTGTGTCTCATGTTCTGAACATCCCAAAATTGTTGCATATTCAGGTCTGCTACAGAACCAGACAGGTTTCATGCCTCTTATGGAGAAGGTAGAAAATTTAATCGATGAATTTATGTGTCATTCCAAGTCCAACATTACATTTGAGTAAGAAAAAAACAATCACATTTTAGAAGATGATGTTTTTAACTAAATAACCAATAGTTTAAAAAAAAGCTACAATATTAGCTATAATATTGTAGCTATAATAATCCCTACAAGTTCATTACTTTAAGTCTGCTTATAGAGCGGTAGCATAAAGATTATAAAACTCCATAGATTAGTTTGAAAACTAAAGATTACATTGTTTTGATGGTCTTCTGTTTTACTGCTTCTCTTTGTTGTGTCTAAATCAGCAGTGTTGATGTGTGTCAATGTAAAAATTCATATATTATTTTTTTTTCTTTTTTAACAAACTAAGAACAGGAAAGGTACACAATACTTTTGAAACATCATGTTGATATTGCAGCTTTTTAAATCATCAGTTGCCTCCATAGTCCGCCCGTCTGTTTAAGGAAATCGTGTTGTCTGCACTACATTAGATGTGCCCCTTGTGTGTACCCCTACAACATGCCTGCCAACTGGAGGTCTGTCGGTAGAAATAATATTGTGGTGTTTCATCAGAAGTCTGTGTGCACTGCACGGTCTGCCGCAGCTGCTGTAAAACAAAGATTGCAACATTACTAAAGACCTCTAAAAGATCAGGTTGAGCTAAAGTTTCAAAGACTTCAGGCTAAAGCTGAAAAGGGATTTCTAAAACAACTGAGCAATGTTTTTCATTAGAGTGTAGTTTCCTGATAATGTATTATGAGTACTGTGTTTCTTCATGTGGTATTTCTGACAGTTTGTGTCTTTCTTCCAGATGTAACTCAAGGATAAAGTGAAAGCTGTGGATTTCCTCCCACCCCCCATCTTTCCCAACATCTGCTTTTCTTCAGTGGATTCCAGTTTAAGCCTTCAAGTCTCGGTCACAGCTCCTTCGCCGAGCTAAGAGATGGAGTGAGTTTTTTTCCCCTTCACACATTCAGAAGCCTGTGGCCAATTACTCAAAATGTCTCTCTCTTTCCCTCTTTAGCTGGTCCACTCCAGCTGCCAAACTGAATCCGTACTCGCGAGCCCGCATGACGGAGGCCTGGCAGCAGCACGCCGTCGCTCCGCCTCCGGTTGTCCACACCATCCCAGCGGGAGCTGAAAACGCTTTGAGCTGCGCAGTGTATGGGATTGTACTGCAGCCGGACGCCTCATCGTTGCAGCAGCATGGAGGTGGACAGCAGCATGCGGGAGCTCAACAACACGCAGGCGGACAGCAGGGGCAACATCCTTCTCAAGCCCAGCAAAGCTCTCTGCAGGTGGGAACAGAGTCGGGACACAAGTGTGGGACGTGTGGACACGACATCTCCCACCTGGCTAACCCGCTTGAACACCACTGCATGGTGAGTCAGGACAGGTCATTCCAGTGCACTCAGTGTCTAAAGATCTTCAATCAGGCCACAGACTTGCTGGAGCACCAGTGTGTCCAGGTGGAGCAGAAGCCGTTTGTGTGCGGAGTATGTAAGATGGGCTTCTCCCTTCTTACCTCGTTGGCTCAGCACCACACGTCGCACAACAGCAGCAACCCCATGAAGTGTTCCATATGCGAGAAGACGTATCGGCCGGGCTCCTCCGGGAACACGACACCCACGTCCTCGAGCAGCTCCCAGCCGTCCAGCAGCGACGGGGCATCGGCGAGCAGCAGCTCGTCCATCTTACCTTTCCCCTCGGCTCGGGACCGGCCGTACAAGTGCTCCGTCTGCCAGAAGGGCTTCAAGCACCTCTCGGAACTCACGCGACACGAGAGGGTGCACACGGGGGAGAAACCCTTCAAATGCGACACGTGCGACAAGGCTTTCAGCCAGTCGTCGCACCTGCAGCACCACCAGCGGACGCACAGCAACGAGAGGCCGTTCAAGTGCGCCGTGTGCGAGAAGAGCTTCAAGCACCGCTCGCACCTCGTCCGCCACATGTACGTTCACTCGGGCGAGCACTTGTTCAAGTGCAACTTGTGCGAGCTACACTTCAAAGAGTCGTCGGAACTGCTCCACCACCCCTGTCACCCGCAGGGCTCCCGACCGTTCCGCTGCGCCACGTGCGGGAAGGGGTTTAAACGGCCGTCGGACCTACGGCAGCACGAGCGCACGCACTCCGAGGAGCGGCCCTTTCACTGCGACGAGTGCCAGATGAGCTTCAAGCAGCATTACGCGCTCGTGCGCCACAGACGGACGCACAAGGACCCCTCTGACCGGCCTTTCAGATGCAGTTTGTGCGACAAAGGCTTCATGCAGCCCTCGCACCTTCTCTATCACCAGCACGTCCACGGCATGGACAACCTGTTCAAGTGCGCCTCCTGCCAGAAGGAGTTCAGCCAGTCAGGAGAGCTCCTCAGACACAAGTGCGGGGAGTCGTCCAACTCCTCGCCGGACAAGCCGTACAAATGTGACGTCTGCGGGAAGGGATACAAAAAGAGCTCCACCTTGCAGCGCCACCAGAACTCCCACTGCCAGGAGAAGCCGCTGAAGTGCTCGCTCTGCGACCGGCGCTTCCTGTCCTCCTCGGAGTTCGTCCAGCACCGCTGCGACCCATCCAGGGAGAAGCCCCTCAAGTGCTCTGACTGCGAGAAGCGCTTCAAGTACTCGTCGGACCTGAACCGCCACCGGCGTGTGCACACGGGAGAGAAGCCCTTCAAATGCGACCACTGCAGCAAGGGTTTTAAACAGCGCGAGCATTTGACCAAACACCAGAGCACGCACTCCCGGGAGGGCCAGTTCAAGTGCGTCTGGTGCGGAGAACGCTTCAGTGACTTGGGCTCTCTGCAGGACCACACTGTGCAGCACACGTCCGATGGAGACGGTTACAATGTGCCACAGTGCATGTGAGCCATGACTTTTTTTTTTTCTTTTTTTTTTCCCTGAATGGACAGAACCATCAGCGCTCCACCCACAGGCTGTTTATGAACCCAAACATCACTCTCGTTCAGGGCAATCCTGGGCTGCAAACCGTTTTCAGATTTCTTTGATCACAGTAAATAGGAAACTCTGGGTCTGGTTGAACAGTCAAGAAAAAAAAAAACTCTCCAATTTTCTTTTTTTTTTTCAGTTATACTGTGAGACAAAAGCTATATTCAGATTTGTTTAGTTTTGTAGCAAAACTAAACTTTGATGTTTTAAAGAACATTGGACAAAAATTACATTTAAACTAGAGATGGATCGATTAGTCAAACAGTGATTAGGAACAGCCAATGGTCTTATCATTCAATGCTACTGATCTAGAGCTGGACAATATATAAAATCCCACTCTTAATTACAAAATCAATCTGGGTAATATCACAATCACAAAGGACCATTTGTATGCAATATTTGATGCATAAACTGGCATAGTCTTGGAACCTCTTCCTTTTCTGTGTAATTCAAAACTATCAAACAGCTGTTAGCACATTTTATTTCCTGTTTCATATGATATAATGGTTTGAGAGGAAAACTGGAGTCAATAGTTAAAGCCCAAATATCGGTGTCAGTCCAGAAAAGCTTGATTGGTGCATCTTTAATTAATATGAATCTTTTGTATCCCATCGAATCATAGATTACTTATTACATATAAATCATGTCAGTGAGCTAAAATACAAAGCTAAGTTAAACTTAATTTCAAAAACGTGTAATTGAACAAGTTGAAGATGATTTAAAACCTTCAAGTCACGTCTTGGACGATTTAAAATCCCTCGTATTTATTTAGATGCGCTGCAGAAAAAACGTGTAATGTCTCCTTTATTTTCATAAAGGATGGCCTGGCATTTTCCATCAGAAAATATTTCCAGTTTAATTCATTCTTTTAGGAATCTTCTTGAGTTAAAAGAAGACTGTTCAACTGGACTCTTCTCTTTTCTTCTATATCTTGGTGTTTTATTTGGCCAACCCATGCTCAGTGATAGCACTGTGGAGGTTAAAACGGAGATGTATTCGACCGCTAGCGCCGCTGTCAGCCCTCTTCTGGTACACGACTACTCTGAAATGTTTGACTTTACACATTAACCCCAAACTATGTTCAATAGACATTCAATTTTAAACTGTTTTCCCATTCTGCTCGTGTGAACCTGACGGGACCTCAAAGCGTTGGCGCTTCAAAACAACATTGAGCATCCACAGCAAAATGTTATCACTACAAGTCATTCAAACATACTTGCTGTTTGCTACTAAAATATGCGTTTTAGTAATACGAGTGGATCCATTCGATCCTCCTAAATCACTTACTGTTTTTCGATTTAATTTGTCCATTATGCCTTTTTTCTTTCCCTCTTTTTTGTCCCGCTTCTCTCTCCACAGTAAAAAAGGAGAATTTCCCACAGTTATGATGAAAAGAGAGTACACCCTCCTTCAATTCTAGAGTTTAAGCTGTTGTCATTAATTAAACAAAGATAAAGCAGAAAAACCAAGTGCACATCACGGTTCAATCACCCGTAACAGTAATGATGTCAAAGCTTTTTTTGTGTCACTGTATCAATCCCACAGAATGTTGTTGTACTTAAAGCTGACATACTATCCTTGGATTTCTGCAAACACAGTGCCGTGAATGATAGCTCAACCTCTCTACGCTGGTCTTGTCTGTGCAAATTACTATACATTTTTCCCAGCTCATTCAGATGCAATGTTGTAAATCTTGTTGTTCCACAATTATTTTTTACAGAGAGAAGAACTATTCTTCTTCAACCCTTTCAAAAAAAATCACACTTCAGTCTTTTCTAACTATCCTGTCAGGAACTTTAATTTGCTAAATGAGCCCTGTAGAGTCTGAGATGCAGCTCTTAGATTTTTGTGCACTTTTTTTTTTTTTTGAGCACTGCACAACCAGACGCTGAGGTAAATCCTGTTTGGACACTAACTTATGGAAACTGCTGTTTCTTTCTTTTACGTTGTCTGCTTCACTGAAGAACAATGGACTACAAATTATGCTGTAATAAGAAGTTTATGGGCAGCTTCCATTTTGCCATTGTGTTAACTTATTTTTTCACTTTTCCATTTTCACTTCATCTTTTATAAGTAACGACTGTGTGGAATCTATGTGAAATTAGAGGGTGTACTTTCTTTTTATTCTGACTGGAGCTTCACATCTAACTCTGTGTATCTTTATAGTACCATTGTGAACCTATTGTCACATTCAGGTAGCAGAGGACATGTGCTCCCCATGTTTATTTCAGCTGCTGCTAGTATTACTGTACCAGAATATGATGCTGTGCCATGTAGGGTTCAGACTTTCTACAGAACTGAATTTAACCACCAGTTAAAGTCCAAATGATTCAATCTAATGAAACCTGCCAGTTTAGACATATATAGAATTACTAATATATTTCGATTCATTGTTCTCCTCATACTCCTGCAGAGGTCAGTGTTGTGGGATAATATGAACTGAATCCTCTCTCTCAGCTTGTACATATGAGCCAAAATGATTGGAAATATCAGAAGTTGTTTTTCTGAAGATTTTTCCAAAATTTTTTTTACTATGTGAAACGTTTCGACAAATGCTCCCTCTCTCTTTTTTTTTTTTTTTTTTTTTGTGGTGTTTTTCTGATCTGTGTAGTTTTTTTGGTGCCAGTATGTTACCGGGACTCTCAAAGAGAAACCTTTGTGAGAGACTGATTGTGTGAATGTAAAAACTGTGTTTTAAACAGGGGATTTCAGAGTGATAAGAACTGATTTGACCGTCTCTCCGCCTTTGATTTTTTTTTTTGAAGTTTGTCCAGGCTGAGCTGCTCCTGTAGGATGGTTCTGCCCCTCTGTGCTAAAAGACTTAGGAGTTTGTTCTGTCGTTTCCTGTTGAGTTGTGTCTGCCGAGGCGGGTTTGTTTCTGAATCATCATCTAAAATTGCCACGAGATTGTTGTGTCTCTCAAGAAGCCACTTTGTTTACGTGTTGACTGTGACTGCCTTCGTTTTTTTCTTTATGTGTCCACCCTTCATCTCCTATAAAGTTTGAGTGCAGTATTAAATATATGTTTTGAAGACTTTTCTACAAAATGAGGAATTGAGTCCATTTCAATTCAGCCTTAAAATGTTTTGCTTTATGCCTCGTCTCTTAATCATTCAATGTAAGAAAGCTAACCATGAGTCCTTCTTTTATTACTTTATCGTTTTTGCAGACTTTGAGGACGAGTTTGACTGTGTTTTTATGGTTTGTGCTTGTTTATTTTGATATCTAGATCTTTTTATTACATTGCTATAGTATGTGTTTTGTGGGAGTGGGAGACCAGGGCCCCTTGGGGTTGGTTTAAAATTTAAAAGTGTGCATTTAAAAGCTTTTTATATCCAGAAACACAATTCATCTGTTCAAAGCCAAAGAACTCCAGTTGCTATTGTCTATATTCTTTGTTTTGGAGTATTAGAATATTCTTGCAAATTCTCAGAAAAACAAGTCTGTCCTTCATATGTTCTTGGTAGAAAAGGAAATCTACTCCATAGCTATCAAAGGGAGTGAGAATCTTCTTTATAGGCACAATTCTAACCTCAGTTATTACTGGTTTTACTGGAAAAGAAAAAAATACCATCACCAGTTAACCCAGTCATGCCCACTTTAGTACCACTAAACCCCGGCCCCGTTAAACCCTGATGTTTTCCTCCTGTCTGCATGCTTGCTGTTAGTATTTGTGTTTGCTTTTTTTTTGTTCTTCTCCTCTTCCCAGCCCTTTTCCTTCCTGTTTTATAGCGTTTTTTTTTTTTTTTGTTGTTTTTTTTTTATTGTTCTGTGGTTTATGTGAACGACGTTGAAGAGAAAACTTGGAAAAGAAAAAAAACTTTGTGGCATAGTACAGTTCATTCTGAGATCATCTGTATGTTTGTAGCATCCATTTACACAGAGCACTAACAAATAAAACTTTTTTTTCATTTATAATTCCGTGAGTGGTGACGTTATCTGAAGAAGATTCATTTAGGTGGCTTTGTAACTTTTTTAATTTTCCTGGAGGTTTCAGTTTTTAGATTTTTATTCATATGCATTACTAATTCAAGAGAATTCAGAGTTTAAAAAACATTTTCTAATTAAACAACTAATTTTGTCATGTTGCTCAGATATCAGTACATGGAGTTTATCTTAATCATAAGCATTTTATAACTTAATTACAACTTTTTGTACTTGTTTATTTTCCTATAATTTAGTTTATATAACACTAATTGTCAATAAATGTCATTCCACAGCCCATTATAAAAGCTGTATATCTACTTTAAGTTCCAAGAGCTGAATAATTAAATTATTACATACTATTATTATATTGATAAGCCTGTATGTAAATATATGTATTGACTTAATGTATCATTGAGTACTTAACTGTTAATAATTCATAAGGTACATCGTAATAAAAAAATTAATTTGTTCATCACGGTTCAATTTCATATTATTTACAAATTGATCCGGTTTTTAATGGGTCTGTTGCTATACTTGAAACAAAAACCTGACTCTTTAGCCTTTAAAAAGAAAATAAAAATAAATCATGTATCAAGAAATACAAAAATATATTTTCTAATTTATATAATTGTGTTTTTAATATATGTACATCCATTGCGACACATACAAAGAGAATAAATACGTGTTTGTTTTTTATGTTACACAACCGTAGTCATTTCCTGTCACCAGATGGCGCTGTGGCCTTGTTGACACTTGACGCATGGCGCAGTCTACCCCGGATACCAGCGGTTTCACATCCCGGGTATCTCCCTCCCTCATGCTCCTCCTTCACCCGCTCCGCCTCCCTTCCTGCGCTCTCCACCACCGGGGAGGTCCGTAGGCTGCCGAGCTAACTCCCGAAACCCGGGCCCCTGAAGTTTGCGTGCGGCACCGGGAAGAGAAGGTCCCGCTTGCCCCGCACAGCCGCTTGCACATGACGCGGGCTCCGCTGATGTTCGTACCCGGAGCCGAGCGCTCCCCTACGGTGCGACATCTCGGCGCTACCGTGAGCTAACAACATCGATCTTCGCTGCTGCTTCCACCGCCCCCTCTCTGCCTCTGGTCGACCCCGCTACCGATCTGTCACATCGAGCGTTGATTGATTAGCTGGCTCTGGAGCTCCGGGGGCATCCCTCCTATCATCGTCCATCAACCGGTGCAGGAATCCCGATCAGAAGCCTCCTTTTCCCTGCTTCTCTTCTGCCTTTTTTAGGGTCCGCCTCCTCTCTACCTCAGCACCCCCGATGCCGCCTGGTCCATATCCCTGTGTGTAGCACCATCATCTCCTACTTCAATTAAAAACCTTCGTCGGGTCTGTTGCCTTTAATAATCCGATCAAGAAGCGCTTCAAGGCGGCTACAGCCTGCGACGACCCCCGCGGACATCTCTGGTCCTCAAGTCTGATTTTTCCTCTCCTCTCTGCAAACCAGCTGGCTGGCGTGTTCCACTTTCCTCCCACACGCAGCTGCCCCACCGTTCCTTAAATCCTCACCAGCCTCCCAGAGTCGGTCCAACCATCCACACCGCGGCAGGCCTCCGTGACGCCCGCCCCGCGGCGTCCGAGCCACGGGTCCCACCATGCCGGGTCCGGTGGCCGGGAGCAAGGCCCGTGTGTACGCAGACGTCAACACCCTGAAGAGCCGGGAGTACTGGGACTACGAGGCCCATGTTCCAAACTGGAAGTAAGGATATTTCAGCTTAGCTGCATTCATCTGTGTGGAGATTGCAGAGGGGAAAGTGTGGCAGATGGGGGTTTATTATTAAACACTGAGCTGTGAGGGTGTGATGACACCACGGTTGTCCTCCAGTCTGTCTGACACTTCATTCCCCCGCATCTCTGTCCTTTCCTCCCTGTCTGTTGTCTAAATGCCCTGAGATCTGAGCCAGAAACTCCTCATCTCTGGACGAGATTTTGCAACAGAAGAAGTGATTTCACACAGAGCCTAAACAATATATTTATTTATTTTGTGTGTGTGATTTTTGTCACACATGCTGCTCTTCTGTTTGTCTCTGCAGCAACCAGGAGGACTACCAGCTGGTCCGTAAGCTGGGCAGAGGGAAGTACAGCGAGGTGTTTGAGGCTATCAACATCACTAACAATGAGAAGGTTGTGGTCAAGATCCTCAAGGTGAGCAAGTCTCACACTGGTGCAGCTGGAATTAGAAAAAAACGAAAAATCAATTATGAATTCAGAATCATAACATATTCAAATTAAACACTATATAAAAGTGACTTTTTAGTTCAGAAATGTTTTTGCCATGACCTGCACATTCCAGGGGAACATCGCTGACTTGACAGTCACTGACACTCCCCACACGGAGGGTCAAACACAAAAGGTCATTGCTGAAGAAACAGAATGTTCACAGGGTGAACAGCCTGTATCAAACATATTAATGGGAAGTTTGGTGGAAGAAAAAAGTGCAACAGGAGAAACTGATGCATGTGCTTTTTTTTCTGTCAGTTCCCAGTTGTTTGAGTTGTTTTCTGCACCTGTGTCCTCCTCTCGAAGTCTTTTCCTCCAAATTCCTAAGACTTGTTTAAGGTTGACCCGAAGGCCTGCCTCGAGGTTAAAGCAAACACTTCTGTACATCTTTCATCTTTTAAACATGTAATAGAGACTCTTTTGGAGACCGAGTCTTGACAGATAAAAAGTAAATGTCCCTTTGTGATTTGGCACAGACAGGCATGCAGCATGTGATTTGTTTTGGGATTTCTTGGCACTGTTAAAAAAAAAAGGATTTATAAAACCTAACATTGTCCAGATAAGGATGGACTGAAAAACAAAAACAACTAAATTGCTTAAACAAGCCGAATTATTTATTTATTTTTTGTCTGTGTGCAAAATAGTAATTTTGTACTGGAGGATTGCAGAGGAGATGGCTGGACAAATCTGAATGTTGTCTGCAGTAATGTGGTTGATGCTCTGGTTCATCCACATTCCACCGCTTACCTGTGAAAAATTAGATCCTCCAGACAACCGGCTTACTCAGCTTTAGAGATGAGCTGGAATCTCATAGTTCCACATCTGAGGGGTTGATTTGGGTTAATTTAAGTGTCTGATTAGGAATGCCTAATGTGAAGGAGATGTGGATACAGAACCCACTTTATGTTGCTTCTTGCCTTAAAACGTTTAGGGACTGAACTGAACAGTCTCTCCTGGACATACCAAATTAGCTAACTAGTCAAATGGCAAGTAATAAAATCGAGTAAAAATCCAGGAATATATTTTATACGTTACATCCTCATCTTTTGAGGCTTTGATCTCTAATGGTCAGGACATGATGAATTCAACTTTGCCCAGTTTTAGTCAGATGTTTTTTTGCAGAACATAAAACCTGGAGATGATATGTGGGGGTGAGGGGGCTTAAGATAAAAACAAATTAATCCAAAATCTTCAAGATGCCAGACTCAAAGAACCAAGCATTTCAGGAGCCGCCATTTTTACAGCTTGAACAGGAAGTCTTGTCTGTAGTGGCAGTTTTAGCTGTAATTGCAGCCCAGTCTTTAAGCCAGCTAACAAACCTCTCCTGCTGCTGTTGGAAATCCGAGCAGAAGATTGAAAACACAGCCATAGACGATTGCTGCATAGCTGTAGATGTACGCAAATAAACCGACCTGGCTACTACGGTTCTTGTGCAGCCAGATGATTACTTTCTACAAATGTTTTCAGTCTCTAGGTTTCAGTGCTGAAGTGGGTCAGTGTTGAAGGTGTCCTACTGCGCTGTGATTGGTTGGTTGTTTTGCAGATGAACATCGGCAGACAAGGATCTGGGGAGTTTGGACGGCCTTTAATTTAATGATCTGGTTCTTGCAAGGTTCTGCTTGATTTCAGTCCAACCTGACGGGCAAAACGAGTTCTACACTGTTGCTACAAACTAAGTACACCCCATGATTCAACAGCCATCTTCAATAAATAGAAATAACCTGAAGACATTTTCTATCCAACTTCATCAAAGTGCTGTGGAGGAATGAAGACCCGCTCTGCTTTCAGGCACACATCTGACTCCGGCACACGTTAGTGCGCTGCAGACGTTAGGGTTGACTGAGAGGCGTAAAGCAGACCCAAATCATCATCCCACCACCGCCGTGCCTGGCAGTTGGTATTCCAAACAAGCAGAACCTGTTGAGGGTTTTCCTGGTTGTCTTGTCATGAATGATGTCATTTCGCATGCCAACTGAGGGATTCGGAGGCTGATATGGAGCTCTTTGGTGCTTTGCAGTTTCGTTCAGTTTTGCACTTTTTAATTGTTGATGTGAATTCGTTCAGAGATGGACTCCTGGGAGGATTGACAGCTTTAAAAAAAAAAAAAGTTTTCCACTTGGAAATACTTTTTCTCACTATCGAACGATGAATTAAAAAAAAAAATAGATGGGAAATTACTTTTCACATTTTCCAGATAGATGATCAGCATTCATTTCTTCTTTGTGGTGGTTGTTGATGTCTCTCCATCTTGGCGTGGTGTTAGCAAACAACTGTATGCTCTAAACCAGGGATGGCCAAGTCCAGTCCTCGAGAGCCACCATCCTGCAAGTTTCAGATGCATCCCTGCTTCAACACACCTGAATCAAATGACTGGCTCGTTATCCGGCCTCTGTAGAGCTGATCCCGGTCTGTTGGAGTAAGGATACTTCTAAAACTTGCAGGGTGGTGGCTCTCGAGGACTGGACTTGGCCACCCCTGCTCTAAACTAGCAAGATGCCAAACTTGCTCCTGCTTTTGTAAAGACGCTCACTAGAGCTAGGCAAGATATCACACATTTATATTGCCATTACTGTGTCAGTCTGTGTGATTTTAGTGTTGCAAAGAATTCTGTGCAGTGCAGTTTTTGTTGGTAATTATAATCCAAGTGTCAGGAACGTACGATTTTCATGCAAATAATATATTCTGCTTGCTGGATGGAGCCTCTGTGTCCAAGTCACCGAAGGCCGTAGAATGTTTTGGAAGCATCATA